GCAGCTTTTGACACCTTTTAACAGCTTCCTTTTATGAAGCTCCATCATGCCCCTTTCACCCATATGCCCTAACTGCATATGCCACAGATGAGTGTCATCTGTATCAGACTCTGCAACTGTAGTCACGGATGCTCCACCTAGTCATGGCCACGGTTCAGGAATCGCCGGTTTCGGTTCGGAACCGGCGGTTCCGGTTCGTGGCCATGTATGAACCGGCGGTTCCGGGCCGGTTCCGGTTCCAGCCGATTTCAGTTGGAGGGGGGAGGAGGCGTTGGCGTCGGCAGCTGCCGCCATGGGCCGGGGCGACGGCGGCGACGGCGGCGGGGGTCAGATCTGGGAAGACGGAGGGAGGGCGGAGGAGAAAAGGGGAGGACCGGCACAGGGGAGAGGGGGGAAGGAGGGACCGACCATGACGAGGACCTTGCTGTCGGTCCGCGAGAGGAGCTCGGAGGCGAGGCCCGAGATGCAGGCGGTGCGGTACAGGGTCAACATGGTGGCATCGGCGGTGGCGAGGGGCTGGCTGGTGAGGGAGCTGAAGACGACGAAGACGGCGTGGACCACCGACAAGTTCAGCGAGAAGGAGTTGCCGGGGAAGTGGGTCACGAGCTTGACGCCGATGCAAGGGAGGGAAGGGTAGGAGGACCAGGAGGGCATGAGGAGGAGGGAGGTGGAGGGGGCGGCAGCGGGAGAGAGGGGGTGGGAGTGGCGGAGAGGGGTGTGGACGGAGGAGGAGAGGGTGGAAGCGTGGAGCGGAAGACTGGTGGGAGAGGACAGAGGAGGGCGTGGAGTACTGCTGTACTGGAGGAGGTGAAGGTGGGTGGGGGTGGGGCCTTGCTGCACTGCAGGTGCAGGGTTTTTTTTTTTAATTTTTTTTTGGAACCGGGCCCGTAGGCCACGGGCCGGTTCCGGTTCCGAACCGCTGGCCCGGTCAACGGTCCGGGCCCGGGTTTGACCGGGCCAGTTCCGGGCCGAAACCGGCCTGTGGCCATGACTAGCTCCACCTGTTACTATACTCCCTATGAGCCTGTATAAACTTCCAGTCAACTCTTCTTTCATGACAACTATAGCTCCCTTGATGACTTTGAGAACTCCACCTGCTACTGCGTACTTGCAGCCATTCACATCAAGTGCACCCAAAGATATCAAATTTTTCTTTAGATCTGGAACGTGCCTTACATCCACCAAAGTTCTGACTATACCATCAAACATTCTGATTTTAATAGTCCCTATTCCAATGGTTTTGCAAACCGCATCATTCCCCATTAGAACAGATCCACCACTGTATGACCGATATGAATCAAACCAATCCTTATTCGGGCACATGTGATAAGAGCATCCAGAATCTAAAATCCATGAATCAGCGAACTGATTCTTACCTGATGATATAGAGAGAAGATCTCCATCATCACCGTCTGAGCTATCAGCCACACTTACTTGATTAGAAGTTTTCTCGTGCTTCTTCAAGTTTTCCTTTCTCTTATAACAGTTTCTTTTCAGATGGCCCTCCTTTTTGCAATAATAACAAGATAATTTCGTTTTACCCCCTCTTGATTTCGATCGACCCTTATTCCCGGATCCCCGCTGGATTGTTCTCCCCCGTTCATGCTCCTTGACTTTTCCGATGAGACCCTCACCCTGTGCCGTAGCACTGTTAACCCTCTTTCTCGTATCATTAGATAATAGGGCAGCAGTGACCTCATCTGTCTCAAGCGTCTCCTTTCCATACAAGAGTGTCGTCACCAGATGATCATAAGATGCTGGTAGCGACGATAGCAGTAATAGGGCTTTGTCTTCATCTTCCATTGAAACCTCCAGACTTGCAAGTTTACTCAGAATCTGATTGAACGTGTTGATGTGTTCTAACAGATCTGAGCCTTCCTTCATCTATAGAGAGTATAACTATTTTTTCAAAAACAGTTTGTTCGTTAGGGACATGATCATATAGATGCTCTCAAGTTTCGCCCACACCTGCGGAGCTGACTTGAGATCCACCACATACTGCAGAACCTCATCAGATAGGTTTAATCGAATGGCGCTTACCGCCCTTTCCTCCATCTCCCCCCAATCTTTATCACTCGTTTCTGGTTTCTTCCCTTTCCCCAGCAGCACTTTCGACAGGCCCTGCTGAATCAGAAGATCCATCATTCTTCGTCGCCAGAGAGTGAAGTTGTTCTTTCCATTAAACCTCTCGATGTCGTACTTGACACTCGAACCCTTTCCTGCCATCTTGATAGATCGCCGAACCAAGCTCTGATACCAATTGTCGAATATCTAAATTCGATCCTATCAACGATGCAAGAAAGTAATGGAAATTCGCACAACACAAGTATTTACGTGGTTCAGCAGGGGAGATGTTCCGCCTATCTACGTCCACGGGGAGAAGAGATCCGTTTCACTAATAACGTAAAAAAGTGTACAGCCACTCTTTCTCACCCCCTGCCTCTATACTAGAGACCCGTTTCGTCCTAAATATATATAGTGAAACCCTACATGGCACAAATTACAAAATTGCCCACATAGCCTAAAATATTTAGCTTTCCCATATAAATCCTTCTATGACTGAACATAAAACGCCTCTGGCGGCCCGGGGACGCTGTGCCCGCAACCCCCGCCAGGGCGGCTCCCCCGGACCCCCGTCCGCTCACCGGGGAGCGGGACCCCCGTGCTGTCGAGTCGTCAGGGGGCCTTTCGGAACCGCCTCATAATCTCTAGGATAACAGAATACAAGACATCAACCTCAACAGGATTCTGCAGAGAAACTTCGAACTTCCGGCTCTGATTAGAGAGGGAGTAGAGAGCTGGAATGACCATTTTCCAAAGATCAATGCCGTTGTGGGAGGGCAAGGGGGGACTTTGCCTTTGAGAAAATATTTAGTGCTGTCAAAATCAATATAAACTTTTTTTTCTATTGAATGAAACATTTTTAGGGAAATATTTAAAAGCCCACAAGGAATCTTGCTCTCCATCCCATCTTTTACTTTTTGACAAAAAAAAAATTCCTTTCAAATTTTTTCCTAAAAATGTTTTATGTAATAGAACACGTGTCAATCTGTGAGTGGATTGACTAGATAAATGTGTGCCATTTCAGTCCAGGACTTGGCGCTTTGATATTACTAAATATTTTCTTGTGTCCTTGAGGCAATGATGCTCCTCCGAGGTGGGGGACTGAATTAGGATTTGAACGTAAGTGTGTTGCCCTCTACGTACAAAAACTTATGTGCGATGTTCACTCCTGTTATTGTTGATTGCGTGGCACTTGAGCTTTGCGATGATAAGATCACTTGAGTGTAATTATTTTATTTCACATCACCAGAAGATGTCCAATATGTCCGTGCACCCATGATTTAATGAATAGTATGTTCCGAGCTAATTCGATGTTAAACCCCGAAACTCGAAATTATGGTTCCAAAAACTGTTATAGTAATGAGTAGGGTGTCTAGATTTATTAAATCGAATCGGAAAATCAATATGACATCTTGAACTTGAGAAAATAATTGCTGGTGTAATTAGCACCTCCAGTGCATAATTAGCAATAATAAGTAATGTGGGACTGCTTTCCACAGGGGCATGATGTGGAAGGAGAAAGATTCAATGAGTGGATTGAGAAGGAAGTGGCACTCTTGCTTTTTTTGTTTTCTCTTCGTTATTTATTATGCTTTCAGCTTTATTCGCTCTTTATTTTATATAAAGAAATAAAAGAGGAAATTTAGTGGAATAATACGAACGAGATGGCATTAAAAATTACAAGAAAAAGTTTGCAATAGGCGCAAAAGATAAGTAGCACCTATTGTAGAGAAGAGATGGGTATTAGAAGATTGATAAAAAGAATAGGAAATCCTTAATAAGAAGTTACCCATGAAAATAATTTTTCTAACAATTATATAGTCAATATATATGATATCTCTTATGATTAAATTCTAATATGAGATAATTTTTATCAACACAATTAAGGCACATCCTCATACTTTTAACTTTTGAAAAATTTAGATAGGACTAAATGAATTATCAACGGCCTAGATCTGGTTCAATCTCCATACAAGTTATTGTGGATGAGAATGGTCCTACATTTGTTATAACTCCTATCAATCTATCCATCATAAATATACACTAAGCTGTCGCCTGAGCGTCACCAATTTTATCCTAATATGGTATTCTGCCTGTACTTTTACATTTCTTTCCTAATAACTCTTATTTGGCCATTCATCGAGAAAGTTCATCATATATGTCGTTGCATCATTTGCCAAATATGGCAACAATTAGTGAATTCATATTTTACTTTTACCTTACGAATTAACAGGTAATTTCGCTGCCCAAAAAGTTCATTTATTAGTTATTACTTTTAACCAATTAGTCCGTTAGAAATTAATGCCTTTTGGATGAAAAGATTCAAGGATTAAATTACAATTTTCTGAAATGGAATTAATTAAGACACCGCTCGAACCACAAAATTTTAATCACATGAAAGTTAGACATTTAAATTAAGTGAGCCCTTGAACAGTTCTTCTCTTTATTTCGGTAGAAAAGAGGATTACATAACAAGTCAAAATAGATACGACAGAGGAAGTCCTGGGGCGAGGTGACCCCTATGGTCCTGCTACGACAACCAGCGGGGCGAACATCGAGTTCGGACACCTGAAGGCTCAGGTGGACAAAATTCAAGTTTGAATTGCAGGATCCGGGTGCCCGCAGGTGAGCTTGGTAAACAAATTTCGGGGACAAATAGTATGGAGCATCCCGGTGTTCTTATATGTTGGAATGATATCATTGAGTTTAATCGTGCTGTCGAGTACGCTAAATAAAGACAAGACTCTAAATACTACGTTTGATGGGATCATCGGATTGTCTTTGGAATCTTTCTCGAAGTGCAGCAGGTAGCATGATTCGACTCATAAATATCACTCCAAAAAACAGGAAGCTGGGATGCTTCAGAATCGTCTGCTCAGCTGCTATGAGTCGCTATGCTCGATCGAACTAAATGGATCCACGGATGACGATGGCATTTCAATTCCAAACCAACTTGTTATGTCCACTGTACTTGATTTAATTGATGAAAACTCGGGGTTGCCTGAGCAAGGCCAACACCAAATATCGCTAATCACGATGAAATAAATTACCAGATTCATTACGTGCTTTAACTCAACTTCTGTGGCTGAAGCTGGCCTCCATGGCGATCCGGTCAGAGTTAAGCATGGTTGTGTTGCGGCCATCCTCTTCATCGATCGCGGCTGCTTAGCTAGGGATGATGATAATGTGCTTGGATAGCGAGGCATCATCACACAATTTAAAATAAGCACAACTTATCAAAGTAAATTTTTCATCTTTTGTGTCCCGTTAAGTATCAGAGCATATTTCCTCACTCAGGACATGCAATTACTATACCTCCCACGATGATAATGCAGGGGATCCTGAAAAATCTTTTGACAGGAAGGATTTGTGTGAACGACGTACGTTGAGCTGTCCATACTCACCAGTAGTAAAAGGGGGTCCTGATCACGAAAGAAACAGAACTTACATGAGTTCGACTTGATAATGAGTTATACTAACTGGTTTCAAAGCTAGAAGAAAATACAACTCAACTGGATTGTAATTACTCTTGGCTAGCTGAATCACTTGCACATCCACATAGTTGTATGCAATCAAAGAAGTAGGTACGTTCTCTGTTCCTACATTTTCAGGACAGAGGTCTCCTCCTCTCTTCTCTCTCCCCGTTGCTCGTGTGTGCGCCTACGTCTTCATCTGCCACCCCTCGCCACTTCGAGCTCCATACCAGCACCACCATAATCACTTGGATGAGGTCAAAGACTAACCGCCAGATATGGATATGCTGGAACTGCGCATGTGGCTGGGGAATTTCGTCAAACAGCATCTAGGCACAGAGATGAGATCAGATTATAGTGTTTCCTCTACTTCCCCTGCTTCCTTTAGTGGTGGACATGCGGACATCTAGCACCTAGAAGAGCCACAACATGACAACGATCACAGCCGGCCACACTCGACCCAATTTCCGTGGTGACAAAAGTGAATTGCTTTATGACGGCAGTGCCAAGGACGACGAGGATGGTGGCAGCGACTGGTCGCAGAGTTTGAACAAGGTCTTCAGCTGCAAGTTGACTCGAAATGACGGGAGCGGAGTGACGACAAAGGAGGCTCTCGTTCTTGCCCAATGCTCAACAAAGGCTGTCCCCAAGCCCCATACTCAACATTCACTGATGCCGTTGGGTTTCATCAAGGGTGATAGCTTTCCAGAAGATAACAATATCAAGTGCGCACAATGAGTATTGACATGTTGACAAGAGATGTTGATGTTGGTCGATTGTACTCGGTAAAACTCCATTTAATTCATGACAATAGGATGACCTAATCAACTCTTGTTTAGATACAATGTGTACATTGTATGTCTTTTTATTTTCACTATTGAAGGGACGGCAAAAAGAATTGTCTACCTAGCTGACAAACACAAATGCCTATCTTACTCAGTATCAAACACGTCGAATTTCCACATACTCTATCATTGGAAGGCCAGTTATCCTGGAAAACCCGCACTTTAGCATATCTTAGATTAGATAGCCTCTCAACTTCTTCGTTTGCAAAATTGTAGAGCAACTGAGCGTCAAATTTTCGACAAAGAGCTTTAACTTTTTTTGTTCCCTGCAACAGTAAAACAAAAGGCAAGTATATTATATTGAACAAGTATAATCGTCTTTCTGAACGTGAAAGATAAATCTAACCATTAGTATAAACAAAAAGCAAGTTACAACAGTAATCATGAGATAAAAAAATAACTTCCCTTAAATATTATTGAGGAAACAATCACAGTGTAAAGGCATGTAATTTGTTAGCTTGATGAGGATAAAGTAATTGAAATGCAAATTTACCTTCGTTTCCATCACCACGTCCAAACCTTCCGCATGGTTCCACAACCGAGTCTTTTTCTTTCGCTCCTTATCACATTCTCGACGGACAATGTCTCTACCAAGGCCTCTTAGCTGATCATGCATCCATAGCTTATTGTCTTCACCAATTTTTATCAAAGACATTCTCTGAAGGACCTCGAGACCTTCCTCTGGGAAGAGATTGCAATCTTTCCACAAATGGAGCACTGTCCTATGATCAAATCCAGTGAAAAGACAAGCTATATCAAGAAAGATATGCTTTTGCCAATCATCCAAGGCATCATAACTTATTTTCAAATTTCTTTTTACCTCATTGAGAGGAACTTGTTTCAACTTCTTTAATATCACATCCCAAACATCTTTTCTTCTGCGTGGAAGTAGTTTACCTATAGCCTCAAGAGCGAGGGGAAGACCCCCCGTACTTTTGACCACTTCTGTGGAGAAAGCAATACAATCATCCGAAGGGTAATCTCTTCCAAAAGCATGTTTGCAAAAAAGTTGAAGAGATTGATTGAAGTTCATGCTCATAAGCTCGTATGGATAACAAGCCTCAGGAACATCGATAATATCCCTGTTTCTACTAGTTATGATAACCCTACTTCCTAAACCGAACCATGCAGGTTTTCCAATCAGTGCATCCCAATGAGTCATTTGATCAACATCATCAAGTAGCAGCAGAACCTTTTTACCGCATAACCTTTCATTTATTATCTTAATTCCTTCCTCAACATTGCTAATGTTTGACCACTTTTTTTTGAGAATGTCAGAGATTAGTTGATTCTGCAAACCTTCCATGCCCTTTAGCTCTGAAGTCTCCCTGATGTTAGAAAGGAAGCAACAAGCTTCAAATTGATGTGACAGCCGGTTATAGATGATTTTGGCAAGAGTAGTCTTTCCGACACCCCCCATACCATGGATTCCGAGAATTCTTATATCCTCCGAATCACCACACATCATCGTATCGATTTCCTTCACATGATTTTCAACTCCGACCAAGCAGTCTGTCACCAGCAGATAAGCCGTTTTTAACTCATCTATAACCTCCTGGACAATCTCGTCTACCAGTTCTCCTTCACCTCTAATATTGTGGAAAGAAAAGGGAAAACATACTTAGAAGAATAAGTTATATTATGGAAACACGGCGCCAAAATGATAAAATGACATACCTATTCTTCTTCGAATTGTCCCATCCATTTAGATTGGCAACGTGGTTGAGAGCAGCTTTCCACTTGTTGACGTTCGCACCGAATTTCTCCTTATGCGAAAGAAATGCTTCTTCATAAGACCCAATTTGATGACGGACCTCCGCCGGGGTAATGTCATAAAAAATGGGCTTAACCTTCTGTCTCCTCGTTTTACTACACTCCACCATTTGGACCAACTCCTTAAGGCACCATTTACTATAGGCGTAGCCCTTGGAAAAGATGGGAATTGCAATTTTTGATTGGCTGATAGCTTTGAGCAACTCAGGACCAAACTCCTCTCCAATTCGGAGCTCTTCATCATCCTTAAATGTGTGGATTCTAGCACCTAACAACCTGGTATAGAGGAAATTTGTAATGCCCGAGCGAGTATCTGGCCCCCTAAAACTCAGGAAGACATCGTAGTCATATCCAGATGACATGGAGGTTGATGATGGTGAGCCATCCTGCTGGTATAGTTCTTCCTGTTTCGGCAGCGTCATATCAGGGATTTGCACCGAGTTGGAGACGCCTACAGCATTAGCTTCTACACTGCCATTATCGACAGCCGGTGAGGATGCTGAGTCACCGACAGAAGCGACCTCCATGTTTGTTCCGGTCACAGCTGCTATTACTTCCCACCTCAGTGATTGCGTGTTCTCACCTGTTTTACGAGCAACTTCAAGCAATAATGGTAATAAAAAAGAATTCAGGCAATCGCAGAACAAGAGACAACTTGAAGGAAATTTATTTTACTCAAACAGAAATTCCCTTAAAGAAATAAATCGTGGTGATATACAGCCTATCCCTACAGACAGTAATTAAAGGAAAATCGAGAAGGAAATTATGTGATAATTATTATAGGAGCATTACATGGTACTATTAGCCAAAACAATCCCTTCACCTGAGAAATGACTGTCTATTTCACGTTTGTGTTGTATAATGTGTCTCATCAATTGGTCAAACTATTTTTAGTAACTCTATAGCTAGACTGGACCTAGTGGAACAGACCTTTAAATGAGTAATTTGTAAAGAGCGAGTAAAGGTAGTTCATTTCAATTCAGGTACATGCACCAGCCTATATTTAAGGTTAGAAAAATTCATAACACTCTCTGGTAGACAATATAAAACGAGTGCAGATCATTTCACCGTGACTAGAAGCATACAGAAAAAAACAAGTTAGGATAAGCGGCATAAGGGGATCAAACAAGACATTTTCAATAATGTTCAGTGATGATGCCCCTCTTGATCAGGGAGGAGGTGGTGGCGGCGATGGTGGTAGAGGAGGAGGAGGAGGAGGAGGGGAGGTCAATAAGGATGTCTGGGATTGTACAGAGGATGAAGATAAATGAAGCTGTGAGATTGAATGACTGACCATTTCCAACCACTGTGGACTCAGTATTGGTCTGTACTGGCAATTCAGGAACTTCATTCTCTTCAGAACTTGTTTTAGCATCATAAGATAGTGTTATAGAGTGGACTGCTCGCCCTTCAGCAAGTAGTTCCTCGGCTTCAATCTTCCTCATGCTTTTCTCTTTCCGGTTTTCCTTTTCCTCCTCATCACTGGACAAATCAACCATTACAAGCGAAGTAGCAGCATCCACTTGCGAGAAAACAATCTGCTCATACACAGATAAGAAACATGAATTGCTTTCCAGAATAAAAAATGAAGTCAAATAACAGATGATTAGTATGACGTCTAACCAGTACCTCTGCCATAAATTCCTTAGGATATTGATCCTTGCGATCCCACAGGACATCCATACCATCAAACTCAAGCTTTAGAACATTATCCGATATAAATGCAGTATTAAACATTGCACGAAACATTGATTCTCCATGTTCAAGATTAGCATCCAAACTGATACACTCCAGCACAACATCGCCTTGAACATTACAATGGATGTCCAATTTAACTGTCTCACCATCTGCCTGCACTTAAATATACAAACAATTAGAATAGCCAACCAGCATGATATCTATATTTTTGGTGAATCATCCATGATGCATGGGTGAACTCACACATCAAAATAGATTGATGGATGAGGCATGTGCCATACAATTGGTGCTTGAGAGGGAATTTTTTTCACTTATATTCTTGTATTCCTCAGAGAGTTGTAGTCATTCTACATATGAAGCAAAACACTGTTACCAGGAAAGCAAAATAAAAGAATGATAGCCTATAAAAGAGAAAATTAAAAGAACGATAACTCATCTTTCTGACTAGACTGGACGTAAGCATGTATGATGTTTATAGGCTCAAAATGAGACTCCAGAAGTCGCACTGTAGTCATATACTAAAGTTACATTCTACATACCTGGGATTAGGTAAAATGCATCATTTTTACCAATAGGAAATTAGGCGTGTTCTCAAAATGCAGCATACTTGCCTTACAACAGAATGCAATATGTAAAACAGTGCATCTATGATCTTTTGGAGCTTGATTTCACAGTTTAACATATTAACAAAGTGAGAACTCTGTTACTAAGACATTCAAAACACTAAGATAACTGTCACTGCCTGTAGCTCCTATCCACAAATCCAGCAAGGTTTTACAAACATCTAAGGTGAAAAGGTTAGGTACTAGAAGCCAACCACTACATGGGAGAGAAAGTGGAGTCACACCTGACAAACATATACGGTCAAGATCCCATGAATAATTTTAGGTTATATGGATTGCCAACAAAATAAGAATTACCCTTACCAAAAAAAACAAAATAAGAATTACCTGTTTGTAATGCCTAACATGTTCCCTCCTTCTGGGTGTTGAGAACAAAACTTTGGCAGTTTGATCAGTAACCATAAAGGGGTCCCGTCCCAGTATCTTAACAATAGGACGACATCCCCCTTCAGCATCCAAATTAACAATGGAACTTAGTAAAACACTTTTTATCACAAGCGCCTTATCTGGTGGAGGCCAATCTAAACCAGCACTCTTTGTGGAAACATAGTGGAGGTATCTCAGCTGGGAAGGTAACGGATTCAGTGTTGATGTCAGCTGCAACAGTTCAAGGGGCGCTTTCTTGTAAATCATGTCGAGTGTTTTCTGCTCCCCATCCTGCTTCTTCCTATATAACAAAAGAGAAGCCAACATGAACGCCAAAACTGGCCATGCACCCTTTTCACAATGCATCAACAGCACGTTCTGTTGCGTATCAGATGACAACCATTCATCAGCAGATCTCAAGAAGTTGTGGATAATCTCCACTCTCGGTATAGGGCAACCTCCATAATTTTGAGGGAGTTCCATGACAGTTATACCATATTCAGACAACACTTCAGCCATTTGGCTTTGGTTATCTTGCTCTCCGAAATTAAGCACCATCAAACAGGCTGCAGAAAATTGCTCTTGGAGTTTTGCAACTATGCCTCTCATGTAAAACTTATATCCGTCATCCTTCAACCAATCCGTTGTGATTTGGCCAAAAAAACACCAATCCCAGGTAAGACAGTAATTGAACACTGCATCCACATCCACATACGTAAATCATTATGTGCATAAGATTGGTGTACGGAATAAGATGAAGCTAACAGGAGACATCTATCATCAAGTGTGTTCTTCCTTTGGGCTCAGTATAAACTTGATAGACCATGAAATGAATCTACTTCTTGAGATAAAATGATGTACTCATGCAAGAAAGCTTCCAAATCATGGATGATGACTTGCTACGCTGTCAAAAGTTGTTTAGAAACTAAACCACAAAAACACATTCATAAACTTACAGGAAATAGTGCCTAGAAAAGATTAGGAAACCCATCTACTGCAGATCATTTCCATAGAGGTTTAGGGTGAACGATATTTCAAGAGAACTGACAAATAAACTAATGAAATGATCCCCTGAACTCGAAGGATAAGCACCTTATAAGGATCATCTGCAGATTAACATCTTGAATGCTTATGACCTTTCACCGGCAAGTACCTTTGGGAATTGCGAAATATGCATTTATGACTAGTCAGTAGCACCCACAGGAGCCTTCGGGATTAACAAGGAAGCGATTACAGAAAGTGCGTGTAGCTAATTAGCTCCATCTAAGGATACTTCTCTCTCCTTCTAGGCTTTCCAGCCTTTCAAACAAAATAGCATCTATTTGTATTTTCTTAAGTCTTTCGATGCTATGATCTTGCGGATTGGGCACCGGACTGACCTACTCTGGTTTTGGGTTAATCTCAATATTCTGATAGCCTAGCAATCATTGATGATTTATGGGTCTTCTTCTCTTCAATCCGGCCTGAGCTGAACTCTTCTTATGGGAGTTGAGCCCCAATGCCATTTGGCTTGTCAATACAACACCGATGCACCCTCAAAAGCTACTGAGGTTACGCAGTTGCTGGAAGTTGGTTAACATGAGCATAAATATGCTCCCAGGTTGAAGCAGGGCTGTGGGTTGTGTGGATGGTACCATTTATATGTCGATTTGAACGAGCATTTCCTTTTAGCTGAGACAAGAAATGAACTCGCAATCGGCAGTGATATGAAATGCGATGACATTCTTCAATGGAAGACAATGCTTGTGCTGAGCAGCTATTTAATCAGAGTTGGTTAACTAGATGCAACAGCCCAACTGAACTAACTACTCAATACAAAGTTTATGCTTCTTCTGCAAAGTAACAAAGTCATCGATCCTGAAATTTTTAGTCTGTATTTGTTTCATGTGCCTAGAGCCCATTTTATGACCAAAATAGGAAAAGAACCAAAAGCTACAGTACACAAGCTTCTATGTTCTTTTGACATATTATAACCCTCACTCATTCATTCCTTGTTGATACATAGGCTATCCACTAATTACCCTAGAGGAGGAAATCTTAGAAAATAAGACTACGGGCTGTTATTGCATCCGACCACTAAAACAGAGCATACATAGAATCCTGGAATCTGACAATCCTGCACATATAAACTATTGTAAGCATACCAATACTGAATATGTGAAAGCTCACCATAGACTCTGTCAGAAACTTCCAACACCCCTCCATCGGGCAGATTCCTGTAAGAGAATATCCAGAGTAAGGCCATAGTGCACCAGGATCAATCCATATGCTTCACATCAAGCATCCTGACACACTAGAATTACACTCACGTAAAACCAAAAGTCCGTGTTACTTCATTTTAATGCGGGACTAACACGCACTTTCTGGTGGAGAAACATTATCCCTGCAGACTAGGAGACATTGTAATGATAAAGTCCGGGGGAACGGGAGCTACTTGCTTTGTTGTTCATTGAGTGAAATGTGCATAGTAAAAGGTGCAATGGATTGTATGTTGGTAATGTTGTCCTAAAGAACCTAGCCGGTCCAGTTGTAAACTTCGGCAGTTTCTAAACAACTGACTCACCGTGTCCTTTTAGACAAATCATCATTCGGTTTGATGATCTGGTCAGGCGGCGGCTGTGACTGCCGGTCTTCAATTATCGTCCGCACTTCAGATAGCGAAGGAAGGATTTGCAGAATAGTCTCAAGCCCGAGTTCATTCACAATCGCCTGCAGTCGCGCTTGATCATTGGCCAAGTATTGGAGCACAGTCGTGGCGGCTTTTTGAGCATCGGGAGACGAGCCCTCCTTTAGGAGCTTGAGCAGCGGAGGCACGCCGCCTTCCTCCACGATCATCGTCTTGTTCCTGTCATTGTCGCGCGCGAGCGAAGCCAACTCATTCGCAGCCTCAATTTGATCAGGCAAGGGCCCCATCTGAAGCAAGGCGATGAAGGACCAAACCCAAGACTGGATCGGATCATTGCTCGCAATCGGAGGCAGCGAGAGCTCAATACCACCCCCACCGTCGGAATTGAAGATACTGAGCAGCCACTTCATGTCCCCGATGGAAGCATCGAGGAGGCTCGTGATCTTCTCAAAATCGGCAGCACTGGTCATGGTGACGACGCGGCGGAGGATGTTGCCGTGCTTGCACTTGCGAGCTAGGGCTAGGGCTCGCTCCAGGTTCCTGGAGACCTCGGGGGCGACGCGGCGGATGGGGCGCTCGTAGAGGGACCGAGAGGAGGTGGTGAAGCGGGCGAGGGTGCGGAGCATCTGGGAGATGCGGTCGGCCTGCCTGCCCAGCTCGGAGCACTCGTTCTTGAACGACTCGGCCTCGTCCACCGCCGAGCGAACTCGCTCCGACAGCAGGATCAGGGCCGACAGCTGGTCCTCGATTCGCTCCTCCTCCGGCGAAGCCATTCCCGGAGCTCGCAACGGCGGTCAGTGACCGCGATTGGGACTGATAACAAGTCGAAAAAGGAGGCCTTCACTTTGATCGGCAAAAAGGGCTCATTCATGTGTTGAAAATATCGCGAGCGCAGAAAACGGCATGCAAATCATGGTACGAAAGTACGCACCTTCGTTTGTGGTGGTTAATCACTCCACAATGTGCGTGCCTAAAAGTTTGCCTAAAAGTGTATCGAAGGGTGTGTGATGAGCCTGCCTAAAAGTTTCGTTTCATACTAAATGTGGGCCTTACTTTCAATAGGAGTTTAGTACCGCACAAATATTTATTTCATGTTATATACTTCTCTATTTTTTCCAGTAAAAAGACTCGTTTCCGGGTGCAGTTTTCTTGAGTGAGGGTAAAGGGAACTATCTCGTCGTAAGTACACATTAAAATTAGAAATGGCAAAAAGCATTTCATTATGGTAAATGAGAGTACCAAACAGAATAACAACTTTCGTGGTACAATGGATGTGTTTTAAATATGGTAAAAGTATCTTAAATATGGTAACGAGACTCATCTTGTGGTAGATTAAGTCTCAATAGGATAAACGAGCATGACTTGAATTAATAGTTGTGTCATAATATTAAAAGCCCAACACCACGTGATTATTAAACGGGTTACAAGATATGGCACGTTTAACACGAACACGACATGTTTATTAATCGTTTTACAATTTTGAAACCAAAGCATGATCAATTTATAAATCGGGTTATACGGTACGGCTCTCCTTTTATCCACCCATCTCTCTCTTTTCTCTTGTTGTTTTTGGCTTGAAGCCTTGATCCCACATACCCTTTTTTTTTGGACAAAACTTACCCACTTCACCTTACGTATCTTTACATCCTTATCTTTTCTATTTCTTTTACTCGGGGTTGAACTCGTCAACCAGTTACAATAGGTACAGCTGTTGAAAATATGTGCCAAATTTGAGTCCAGTATATGTCATGTTCAGTAAACTTGTCCGATACAAGAACTTGTATTCTAGCTCGGGTATCACAATACCCAATGACTTGTGACTCATCATTTTCTTAAGTATCCAATACTCGGTGGTGAAGCTTGAGAACACATCGGTCTCAACAAAATCATCAATATTCTCTCGGCGATCCATCGATCGGGAACAATTGAAAAGTTACAACTGATCTTATGGAATCATTCTTATAAATGGGACAATGAATGGATACGTTTTTTCCATTAAACACTTGATACGATTGAAAGTACAACTGAAATGCCTAACATATAATTATTACATGATTGCTTTAGGTCATATAGCCAACAATCTCCCACTTGCACTAAAGCCAAACCTGTTTGTTACCTCAAACCCATCTTATCAAGGCGTCTTTCAAATACTCAATGGTTAAGCTTGAGAATACACCGGTCTCAACAGAATCATCAATATTCTCTCGGTGATCTATCGACCGGGAATAGTTAAAAAGTTACAACTGATCTTATGAAATCATTCTTATAAATGGGACAGTGAATGAATACGTTTTTGCCATTAAACATTTGATACGATTGAAAGTACAACTGAAATGCCTAACATATAATTATTACATGATTGCTTTAGGTCATATAGCCAACAATCTCCCACTTGCACTAAAGCCAAACCTGTTTGTTACCTCAAACCCATCTTATTAAGGCGTCTTTCAAAAGAAGACTCAGGCAACACTTTAGTGAAGGGATTTCCCGCGTTTTCCGCTGAGGCTATTTTCTACAAGGTGATATCACGTCTCCCGATTATTTCTCTGATGAGATGGAAGCACCTCTTAATGTGCTTGGATTTCTGGTGAAACCTTGGTTCCTTAGCCTGAGCTATTGCCCCATTGTTGTCGCAAAATAATGTAATCGACTGTTCAACGAAAGGAACCACTCCAAGTTTTGAAATGAACTTCTCATCCAAGCTGCTTCCTTCGATACATTAGAAGTAGCTACATACTCTTCCTCGGTGGTAGAATCAGTAATTATGCTTTGTTTGGAACTTTTCCAACTAACTGCACCACCATAGACTGTAAGGATAAACCTAGAAGTTGACTAACAATCACTAGGATCTTATTAAAAATCAGTATAAGCTCCAATTTTAAACTCCCATTCTCCATATATCAAGAATAGCTCCGTAGTCCTTCGTAAGTTCTTAAAGATAGTCTTGACTACTATCCAATTCTCTTTGCCCGGATCAGACTGATATGTGCTAGGAATGCTTATGGCATGCACAATATCAGGTTTCATACATAACATAGCATGCTTTATGCTTCCAATAACAAACACATAAGGTATTTTTGCCATCCGCTCTCTTTCTTTAAAAGTGCTAGGACACACGTCCTCGGAAAGACGGATTCCATGCCTAAAAGGCAATAATCCTCTTTTGGAATATTGCATGTTAAAACATGTTAACACTTTATCTATGTATATAGATTGTGAAAGGCCAATTATTCATCTCGATCTATCTCTATAGATCTTGATACCTAAAATATAGGTCGCCTCTCCTAAATCTTTCATGGAGGATTTTCGCTACAAGAATAATTTGACCGATGATATCATAGGTATAAATAAGTATGTCATCGATATACAAAACTAGAAATACAATTGTGCTCCCACTAACCTTTTTGTAAATGCAAGGTTCATCCAGATTTTTTTATGAACCCAAACGATTTGATTACCTCATCAAAACGGATGTTCCAACTTCTAGAGGCTTGTTTGAGTTCATAAATGACTCTCTTAAGCATGCACACCTTCTAATTACCATTATCATATTCAAAACCCCTTGATGGTTCCATATAGATGTCTTCTTTGAGGAACCCATTTAGGGAAGCCGTTTTGACATCCATTTGGAATATCTTATAGTCAAGGTGCGCAACTATAACCAACATCATCCGAATGGATTTTAGCATGGCCATCGGTGAGAAAGTCTCATCATAATCAATCCCTTCTTTTTTATGATATCCTTTCGCTACTGGCCATGCCTTGTAAGTTCCAACTTGACCATCAGCGTTCATCTTCCTCTTAAAAACCTATTTAAAGCTAATTGGCACAATACCATCGGGCAGGTCAACTAGAGTCCAAACATCGTTGGAATACATTGAATTCATTTCGGATTTCATGGCCTCCAGCCATTTACTAGAATCAATGTTGGACATCACTTCCTCATAGGTGTTACTATCATTAGATTGATCATTGTCATTCACAATGAACAAATGTTTAGTATGTTCAATCAAGTGTCCATAACGAACAGTTGGACGAGACATTCTTGAACTCCTCCTAATGTGTAGCAGAAGCTCCCACTAAATCTGAGGTCTACATCTAAACCTAGTCAGGTTGTGCATCCGAACCTCCTACTGAATCTGAGATCTGTGTCTAAACGTTGTTGTTTGCTACTCCATTGATTTCTTTTGATAAGTCTATTTTCCACCCAGCTCCACTTTTCTAGATGAACTGATTCTCCAGAAAAGAAGCATGTCTATTGACCAAAACTCTTTGATCAGAGTGAAAATAGAATTAATATCAGAGAGTTTCTTTTAGATACCCAAAGAAGCGACCTTGTTTAGATATTGCCTCCTATTTGTCGGTTTTCTGCTTTTTAACATAAGCTAGATAACCCAAATATTAATATGATTAAGACTTAGTATCCTACCATGTCATATCTCATAGGGCGTAGTTGAAACGGACTTGATTGAGACTCTATTCAATAAATATGTAGCTGTCAATAGGGTATATCCCCAAATGGGTATAGGCAAATCGGTGTAACCGATGATAGATCGCACCGTATCAATAAAGTGCGATTTCTTTTCTGATATATATCATTGTGTTCTGGAGTTCCAGGAGGTGTCCATTGCGATAATATGCCATTGTCTCTAAGATGGTTCAGGAATTCAACATTAAGGTATTTACCTCCTCAATCAAATCGAAGAGCCTTAATACTCTTTCCCATTTGTTTCTCAACTTCAATCATAAATTCCTTGAACTTTTCAAACGATTCAGATTTACACTTTATTAAGTATAAATAATCACATCGTGATAGATCATCGGTAAAGATAATGAAGTAAGAATAACCGCCTCTAGCTAATTCCTTGAATGTATCAATCTCAATATGTCAGTAGCTCGTGCATTAGAGGTGTGCAATGGGAACTACCTGAACCGGGAATCGCCTAGACCGAACAGGATCGGCCGGTTCTATGCGATTTCGAGGAGTGCCGGTCCGGTTCCCGGTTCCATAAAATTGAACCGGTGACGGGCGATCCAGTTCCCGATTTTAGGGTGGGAACCGGACCGACAGGACCGGACCGATGTTATAACATCTAGTCGGCCTTCCCTCTCCAATATTCCTCTCTTCTCTCTCTCTCTCTCTCTCTCTCTCTCTCTCTCTCTCTCTCTCTCTCTCTCTCTCTCTCTCTCTCTCCATACTCCATACAAAGCAACAAAGCAGCACCAGAACAATCAATGTACTTAACATCTCATGCGCTGATGATCCCTCAACAAACCCAGCCATATTAGTGGATATAGCAGAACCTTGAGATGAGCCCATCACGAATTACCGCCGCTCAAAAATAAAAAATCCTGCACCTTCAAACCTTATCACTGACAGCTTCCCAATTATTTGCCCTGTAGCTTGAAGAAGGCGTTATCCCATCTATCTCTCTGGGTGCAAAAGGTAAAAAGCTTTATGCTCAAAAGGCAGCAGAGAAAATGGCTTGAGAATACCCTAAGATATATTAGGTATGTTTGCAAGCCAATCCCCCTCTCTGAGAATCATAAGATACATCCACAGCACAATGAAGCTTCTCACGAAAAAAATGTATTCCGTTGGACCGTCCGGGAACCGGACCAGACAGGTCCAGTCCCCGGTTCTAGAAATTGGGAACCGGTCCTCCCGGTCTGGTTCCCGGTTCCTAGGTGGGACCGGACTAAACTGAGAACCGATCATCCCTATCACGCACTATGTCCTACAAAGGGTGCTTTTATCATTGTTCCTAGAAGACATGCCTCAAAAGTCGAGTACAGCTCAAAGCGATATGGATCAATGTATC